CAACAACAACAACAACAACAACAACAACTAACCTCTTGTAACGTAGAGATAAAAGAAGTCCAGATAGAGGATGGTCTGTACAGAACCCGCAACGATGGCAATAAGGTCATAGGTGTCCTCATTCACAAAGCGGTAGACCCAATTAACAATATACAGGGCCCGGTAGAGACCAAGGGCAAAGAGATAATGCGAAGTTATAGTTTCAGCCTCGCCGGTACTGGAGATCATGTAGAGCTGAGGGAGAATGGCGACGGCCTCGAGATAAATTGAGAACGTCCACAAAACCTAGGGGGGTTACAGAACAAAAATTAAAAATATAACTGGTGGCAGCTAAATTTATAAATATGATCCAGTAAAGCGAATACCCGATTTTGTTTATCGAAGCATATTTTCGATAAATGTTGGCCAGACCTGCACGGTATATGGCGAGTGATAGATGTTTTGATGTAAACCTAGAGATTACATCATGGCTACTTCATCAAACGGACTTTATCATCCATTGAAGAAGTATACATTTAAATAAGATCTCATTAATAATTCCTCTATATTGCTCACCGACATTTAAATCGCGTAATTGGGTCTTCCACTGAATTCGTGCACCTAAATAACATGGAGACGACAGAGAATGAGGGCTGATTTACAGTCTGTTTAGAGTTTATTCTGTCTCCATATAACCACCCATAGTCTTGACTACCAGCCGGGGCTAGAAACACTAGGATAAGCTCGACTACAGTGTAGATAGTCTACGAACTGGGTCTAGCGATGAGTCATAAGCACTTCATCGAACCGAAGTTCATCAGTGCCACGCTACCTGTTATTTTCGGTTGCTGCAGATTGGATACTGATTCAGCCAGGAATGGACGCACATCTATCTATTGGTCTCCTTAAGTAATCAACCTCCCTGTGGGCGGCAAATTTCACGAACAGGCAACCACCCAACCACCAGGCTAAAACCAGGCAAGTTACGATTTATACAGTCTGTTTCAGGCTTATTCTGCCTTCGTTCAACCCCCATTCTTCCCTCCCCTCTGCACTTATAACTTGGTTAACTGTGACCTGGTATCTGGTTGCCTGTTCGTGACTCTTGCCACCCATACAGGTCGTGTTCGTTTTGGGAAACTAACAGACAGGCGTGCCTCAATTCCTGAATGAATACCTGATAGTGTCTATCACGCTAACAGCGATAAACAGTGATGCCGCATTAGGCGAGAA